GGGAACCGGGTTTTTTTCCCGAGCTTCAAAATTTCCGGAAATTTTACATCTCTAGGGGGCACCAGAAGGTGTCCTCGTCTAGTGTGTAAAAAAACCTGGGGCTGGTCCTGTTCATATTCCTTCCAGTGGAACCTAGAAAGCAGTAGCCAAAGTGTGGGAGGAGGGGCAGTCAAAGTAACCATCTGATCACCGCTGACAGTTGCCCCCTGATTCAGCTGCTGTCTTGAACCTCCCCTCTCTTATGGATCCCAAACTCCTCTCCCATTTGAGCACCATGACCTCTTACTACCTCCTAGCCTTTATCTTGATGATTACATTTATGGCTTTCTCTTGGCTGCTGCTCTTGTAATCCTGTTTCTGGATCTGTTCAGGAATCATGTCAATCCATGTTCTATTTTAAGTACGATTAGTTAGTGAGCACAGGATTCAGCTCACTTGTTCAAATGCTGGTTTGCCTCAACAAATATTGGTTTCACTGCCTTCTCCCTGTAGCTTAGGAGTGCATCACTGGAGAACAAACCAGGATTTAAGTCAGGGTGTAGGCATTCATATATCCTTATGAAACTGCAGTTAAGATTATGCAAGGTTAATAAATCAACTTCAGATCCTAAGTAGGTCTCAGTAGGACCATTCCACAGACTAATCACACTCACCATAGTTAGTTTAATAAAAATCATGGTTTTGTGCACTGTCTGAACTGAGCCTGTACAAGACTGCAAACGAAGCTGGAGAAAACCAAGCTAAAAATCAATTAAAGTGCCACAGCTATCTCACAATAAGTGGCATAGCCATATACCCTGTTTCCCCGAAAATAAGACCTACCCCAAAAATAAGCCCTAGCAGGATTTCTATGTATTTGTGGTATAAGTCCTAGTGTGTCTTCTTGAGAAAAAAATAAATATAAGACAGTGTCTTATTTTCGGGGAAACGCGGTATTAGAAAAAGACCTATGCAGGGCTTATAAACAAGATATATGGTACATAAATGTGTGGAAAAACAGTAGTGTGACCAAGGAGCTCACTGAAATAGCTGCAGTAACCCTCATGACTATGACTCAAGGAGGAAAAAAGAGGAGTCTTTGATAGTAGATCTGGCTGCTTGCTGGCTCCATTATTCTGTACTATCCTATATTTGAGTACATGAGCATATTCAGGCTACAAGCTGGTTTACAAGTACCTTCAGGTCTAAAAGCAATTAAAGTATCATATGACCTACAGAAGTACAAAAGAAAGAATTTAAATAGGAACGACTTACTCATTGTCTTGCATAAATGGTGGGCGTCATTCGATTTCCATTCCTTCCACCTATCCTTTGTTATTATGAATGTATAACAACTGTTTTGGAATGGTACCCATGGTGTATTTTTAACCTGGTGTGGACATTCAGTAGATCCATATGTTTCTGTTTCCTTTGTTTCGTCTGAAAAGAATAACATTTCCTTAAGGCATGTTTTAACAGCTGAAGTTGTTACGGGAGATTCATGCATTACTATTAGGACAGAGAGAAATTCCCCATAGTTTCAAACTATGATTTAGCTTTAACAACGTAGGTATCTGAACACTGGCTATGGTTAACACAAACCACATTTCTTCATATCTGTGGCTTGCAAAACTATTTTCAACCATGTTTTCTGAGAGAACCATTATTAGGCTCCGGTCACACGGGCAGGAAACTGCGGGCGGGGGGGGGGAAGCGTGGCTGTTTGCCCCGGGGCAAACTAACGCGCTGTTAAGGGATCAGATCTCCCCTGGAGGTTCCGTGGAGGTCCCGTGGGAAGGGAGAGGTGCTGATCACAGGACGATCCTGCGCGCAACAACGAAGCGCGTGGTGCAGCAAACGGGTGTGGTTTTTTTGTGTACACCAAAAATGCGCATGCTCCGTTGGGTGCTTGTGCGCATCCACGGAGACTGGGAAAAAACCCCACCTTGTTTGCAAGGGGACATGGGCGGGCGCCGGATGCCACCGGAAACGCGATCAGACGCCCGCCCTTGCCCCGCAGTTTCCGGAAACTAGTACCTCCGAGGTACTAGTTTTTTGCAGCGCAGTTTCAGCGGGAAGCCTCGGTTGAGCCACGGAAGCGCTACGCTTCCCAGATGTGCCAGTGAGATCGCGCCCGGAAACTCCGCCTGACTTCCGTCTCTCTAGCGTGGCTAATGTTCCGTGTGACCGCAGCCTTAGTGTAACCATGATTTGATGTGCACACGCAGCTTTGAACTCTGGTTAACATTGACCAGGAAAGGTAAATCAGAACTCATTCCAGAGAATGCAGGCAGAAAGAGATGGAGTACACAATGGAGTTGCAAGCCATAATTTGCAGAACCAGAGTTAAGCCTGAACTTGATCTCAGTGGTCCACTGGAAGCTGTGTATGGGCATTTTAAATACATATAAAACCCACCCATTCTATATCTAGTTTTAGAGAACATAATGAAATAATTTAATTTACAGTTTTTCTATATCATCTCTCAACAAAAGTACTTTTCGTTGTATAAACGAATTTAAAATAATGTAAATTAAAAATTGGACGACTCGTACTTCCTGGTGAATAGCAAACAGCTCCTGGTTTTTCCACATCACATTCAGTAGTTTTCCAGAATCCATCGCTGTCCAAGTACACACAGTCATCTACATCTTCATCTTCTTCTTCAGACCAGTAGCTTACACTAACATGTTTTCCGTCTGACCACTGATAGTGAATTCCACCCTAGGGGCAAAACCATAAAGACAAACTGATAGCACCGTAAAACGAAGCATTACTCCAAAACTAACTATTCATACAAACAGACAGTGAACCTTACACCAAGCCAGATATTTAAATAGACGTGTCACCTGTACATTGCAACAAAGATCACTCAACGTCTTCTGCAGGGACATATTACATGTGTTCACTGTGACTTTACAATGATGTTGTGAATGGCATTGTTCTTGAACACAGGAAATTCAAGTTCAAATCCCTGCTTAGGTATGAAGCTTATACAGTGGCCCTTGGCAACTCTCAACTGATTAGGTCATAAACCAACATGATGACCACCAGCAAAAGATAAATACCATGGATAAGCAACTGATTCAGATCTGGGTTACACTAAAAGGGGAGAGAAGATATAACCATTCAATACTTGCTAGGTTTTGCTAACTGAGCTCTCCGTCATTATGGTTTCAAAAGAAATAAAGACATGTCTTTTAAAAACAACAGTCTTTTCCCCTTATACTGCTGATGAGTGTGGGGAGTCTGGCTTCAAGCAGCGAAACCAAGAAGGGGAGGGGGTTCAGGATAAACCCCTGCTTTATTTCCTCACAAAACCCAAATCAGAATCATAGCTGCATGTACAATTTACATTTTAAAGAAGTCTGTGGTGTTACATCTGTCCATGTCCTTATCCTGTTCTACCTTGCAGGGTTATTGTGAAGCTAAAACCACCGTGGGTTGGCGCCAACCAGCTTTCCACTGGTGAAAAGAGAGGAGGGAGTCTCCTCTGACCACTAAGAATGCTATGTTAGAAGTCACGAGGCATGCACTGATAAAAAGTCATGCAGGATGGAGGCTGCAATGAGAGGAACTGCAATGCGGCTGAAAGCAAACACTGGCTGCATCCAATCCAGTATGAGCCTCTTGAGGGAAGAGAGGCATGCAAATTGAATGTATCTATAAAATTATATTGTTCACAATAGCTCTTGTAAAGTTATATTTAATCTTGTAGGTATAAGTTAACAAATCTGTGTTTGTATGGAGCCAGTCATATGATTATGTATGTCTAAAAGGTAAACTTTGCTGCAGCTGTTTCAGTGATCTGCTCAGTCACACTACAGTTTTTCCACACAGTTGTGTACCATGTATCTGGTTATAAGCGCTGCATGATTTTTTCATAACATATGGCTATGCAAGCTTTCCATCTGCAAGAAACAGTGTCTTGAGATTGTTCAGCGCTGGTTTAAATGGGACTGAATTAACTTTCTCTGGGTTGCAGTCATTAGCTTATCTAAAAGAGCAGCACATTTATTATTAGCAACATCGTACATTTTAAAAATAGAAAATGGCAACAGCAGCAATAAGCTGGCATTTAAAAAATCTCAATACATTTTCCTCCTCCCAGTAGATTGGGTCCAACGATCTGCTGGAAGATGAATTTTCCTTGCTTTTCTTTCCTTCCAGCAGTCCTGAGTCCAAGAACGTTAATTCCAGGGTCACAAGATCTAAATGGAGTAATAGCTACTTCAGTCAGCAGGCTGCAGTGAGGAGTGAAAAGGGGTCTAGAATTACTCAGCAGAGGTCCACAGACAGAAGAGACTGGAAAGCTGATTTCACCCCCTTCCCACTCTTCAGTCCATCCCTCTGCATGGCTGTGACTCCACCCAGGTCTTTTAACTCCTGGAATCAACTTTCCCAAGGACAAGAATGGTGGTGGAGGAGAAAGGGGAAAGTGGCAATGCTCCTTCTAAGGCTGTGGAGTCTTGTGAGCAGAAGTTCTACTTTGTGAGCTACTGGCATTAAACCTGTGAGCGAGCGATTTGGCTGCCGCATAAATTAATTTGCTCTGGAGCCATCCTTCCTGAGCTAAGACAAAAACGTGTGAGCCAGAGACTAAAAAACTTGAAGCTAGCTCACACTAACTCAGCCTAGAGGGAACACTGGAAAGTGGTGAATATCTGTCATCGTTGCATAAGTGGATCACTGGATACAACACAATGCTTCCATTAGTATTTAGACTACACGGGCTGAAAGGAAAAGATAAACCTTACATCTTTGCTGGAAAGTCCAATCCACAGCGGATAATTGAGCTGGGCAGCTTGAGCAGCAAGAAAAGCCTGCTGGTATTGTTCTGTGATGCTAACCAGCTGCATATTGTTCAGCTGGCACTCCTGTAGGGCATCATACCAGGTCAAATTCTTCAGTATTATGATATATTTGACGTTTAAGAAGCTTGTGGTGATATTAAGCATTTCTTCCGTTTGGTTCTCGGCAGGCGCAGCATCTAATAAGAAAACCAAATATGTGAACAAGAAAAACTGCACCATTTGTCCCACAGCTTTCTGTGGTGTTTTAAGTTTTAAAGGTCTTTACGGTAGTACTAAGTACATTTTATTTTCTGGAAGTGTGAGGAAGGTCAATGCACGTTAAATACAAAGCAAAACAATTCAGAGCTGATTTACTTAAATGCCAAACCACAGGGTTGGATCCCACTATCTTTTTTAGTCAATCTCATCCAATTTGCCTCCTTATTACAGCTCCTATTCCACATGGCTTTTGCTCATGGTCTCATGACCCCCAGGATAGCCTTTTATTTAAAAAGTATTCAAAGCCCTTTTTCTTGATAGAAAGGCTGGCTGGATCCAAACCACAGTCTGGCTTTTCATAACTTTGAGTCTTGGCTTTGAGAGTTTCCTTCTCCCCTCATACACTTCACCCAATTTTGGACTGGCATCGTAGCTCTAGGGCCCCTTTGTTATTTTTCTGACAACATACTTATAAGTAGGGATGGGCATGAACTGGGAAAATCGAGGTTCGTTTCAGTTCGTGGGGCCACACGAACCATAAACTTTCACGAGCCTTCCCATTTACCGAACTGATTCGTTTTGTGAGGTTCATGATGTGGTAGAACAGCCCCCCCCCTCAGGCTAGAGATGCCAAACTCACAGCAAGTCTCCAGCTGACTCTCCTCTACCTGCCCTTCAAGTTTCGTAAGGATTTGATTTGGGGGGGGGTGAGTTACAGCCCCCCAAAGCAGGTGCCCCCAGGAAAGTGCTCTCTGGGGAAATTAGAGCCATAGGTGCAGGGGTGTGTCAAATCTCCCCTCCCGGTAAGCTAAAGGCAAAAGGGGGGGGTCTAGTGCAGGGGAGTGTGGAAAGTTGGAAAATCAAAATGAGGGGCAGGCTTGGGATGGGCAGCTGATGATGCTAAGCCTGGTGGGTGAGTGCCCAGAGGCACAGATGTCGAGGATCCCAGAGTCCGAAGTGCAAAAGGCGGGATGTTCTAGCACTGGAGGGAAAGTTGAAAAACCAAGACAAGGTGTGGTGTTTCCAGGGCTGCAGAAGGGCTGCAGAAGTCAGTCTCCCTGTTACTTTGATGACTGATTTGCGCCAGAGTGTCTGCTGCACAAACCGCCCAAACTATCCTCTGTGAAAACCATGGAGGTTCATGGGAGATTCGTTGTAGGTGTGATCACATGACCCTTGACTCACAAACCACAAACCGGGAGATTTTTGTGATGAATTTATGTTCATGACGAGGTTTGTGCTCATCCATATTAACAAGTTCAAACACCATCTTGTGTCTATGTGCCCCGTAGGAGAAACATACAGGTACCATACAGGCACCTGCACGCTCTCCTCCACAAGACAAACAGCAAGCCGAAGGAGAGGTTGCACAGGGTAAAGATTTAACCCTGCCTTCCAACTCCAATCAACCTTCCCCCTCCCTGTCCTGGAGATGCTATTTGCAGTTTAAAAAACAATTGGAAATAAGTGGATTTTCTGTTCTCATATCCTGTTTGGTCATACTAAGCACTAAGTATGTACTGCATATTTGCCATGAAGGGATTTTGACCCCCTGTTCCAAAATCACCATACTCTTTCCTCCGTACACAGGATGTTCATTAGGAATACTCACCTTCCTTCCTCTGGCATATAGCCACAGCTTGAGTATCAGCGCAAGAAATCAAATTCCAGGCCCCAATGTACAAAGAGTTGGGATTGTTCAGCAAAACACCACATTTTTCATCAAACAGCTGGAGGTGAATATAATACATTTTATCAACAATCTCAGCATATTCCATAACCATATGGTGAAGCGCTACTGCATTAATTAAATACTATGAGTTGGATCCTGTCAACTTTTTTTTTTTAAAAAAATAATTTTCTAAAACACTACAAGAAAATAGGGACAGGGGACTACATACTACAGGAGAAAGTAAAGAAAAACCACTAAAAACCCAAGAGGTGGTAGTCATATAATGGTTACAATGCAAAGCTTATAGTAAAAATAAAAAGATATGGTTAACATTAAATGTGATCATTAAATCCGCTTATATGCTTCAAATCCAGAACTTCTGACTCCTTAAAGAACAATACAAAAGAACTCTAATATATTATTAACAAAAGAAAACAGACTTCAGAAGAAATTAGCATCTCATTTTTTGTCTTTTCTTTCCCTCAAATGATATCCTTGCTTAGGGGCCATCGCCCCACGTTCCGAGTCTTCTTCAGTTAGTGTTTCATCATCACTTCCCTTGTGACTCTCCTCATCTTCTTCCTCTGATGGCCCAAGTTGCTGCTGCAAGAACACACTCGCTTTCATAACAGAGTCAATTTTCCCCCTCTTGTCTTTAAATTTAAACAGTCTGCCTTCAGGTATAATCCATTTGTAGGGGATGTTATTATTTTGTAAAAACAAAGCCAAGTCTCTGTATTTTTTCCTTTTCTTTCTTATTTCAAAGGGAATGTCTTTCAAGACTCTTATCTCCTTGCCGTCAATTTTAAGGGTAGTTCCATTTGTTGCCTTTAAGATTTGATCCCTCACTTGTCTTCAGGAGAATCTGGGCAGATTATTTATCTTTATAAATTCTGAATGTGATCTATAGATCACATCCATCTCGCTTAGAAGAACATCCGCTTTTAAATCTGCAACCGGTCCCAGGGCATCAATCATGATCTGCTTTAGATTCTCCCCTTTAGTCTCAGGAACTCCTTGAAATCTCAGAACAAAGCTTGCCTTTTCCATTTGCAGCTGTAACAGCTGGGCTTCATTCGAATTTCTCTTCTTTTCCATATCCTGCATTTGTTTTTTAAGCTTTTTAGTATTGGCATCCATTTTTTTAAGGTTTTCAGCTGTTTGCTCTGTTTTTTTAATGTTCTTACTTAGTTGCTGTTGCTGTGCAGCAAAATGTTCATTGAGCGTCTTCATCTGCTCCAGCAGGGATCGCAAAGCATCTGTTAACATCTTAGAGAAGTCTATGGTTACATCCGGTTGCGTAACCGCATTCAATGGGCTGGCACTTCCTGAAGAAGGCTTAGGTTTCGGATGCTTATTTTTCTCCGTCTTTTTCAGTGACATCTTTGAGGATGTTTACATTCAAAGTAAAGTTGCCAAAAGTCTCTCAAGTCTGCAAATTGCCTAAAAGTCTCTTGTAAGTTCTTTAATATAGTCTCTTTTCGATTTTAGTTCCGCCCCCTTCTGTTTTAAGTCCGTTTTTATTTTGATGGGGGGTTCCCACCCCCCTCGCTTGTTTTAAGAGGGACTTTCAGCCGATTCTCTGGTGTTTGCTTCAACCAAACTCACGTTTAATGTAGATCAAATAGATCATGCCGTTTATCGTCTAAATCGCTCGACCTCCGCTTGTCCCGGTGTGCGTCTCTGAGTCCAGTACTGGAACACAGTGGCGAGACTGTCGGGGCATCGGAACGCCTCAATCCACCAGCAGCATGCCGGGGGAGAGGCGATCCTCGGCATCCCATGTCTAGGAACCCTACCCTCAATCCACAGGGGAGTGCGTACGATCGCACCCCCTCTCCATCCGCCAGTTTACGGATCGCGCCCCCGTGAGCTCCCGAGCGGCGCATCCGCCATTAGAGCGCCAAAACCGGAGAAGTTGTCAATCCTGCCAACTTTTTAATTAAGCTTGCCCAATTCCTTTCCTAGTGCCTAGTCCTAGTGCCATGTGGCTTTCATCCATGCAGGTCCCATGACTTCCAGCGTAGACTTTTTGGTGGTCAAAGGGGACCTCCCACCCTCATTTTTCACCAGCAGAAAACCTGGATGGAGAGCCCCCTGTGTAATTACACTGGTATTTATGTCTTATCCAAAGAAACAGTACAGTATAAGGTGATACGAGACTGGAGAAACTAATCACTTTGTTTTGATGGTATTACGCGGTTAGATAAGTTTCAAGCAGATGTGTCCTCTGCCATTCTACTCCTATGCACTTTTCCAAAAATTCATGTCTAACATATTACCCATTGTACTGCAGTTACAGTGCTTGCTGGTTGCAGCAACCCCCCCCCCCCACACACATTAAATATAAAAAACGCAATGTTATTTTGGTATATATAAATTTCTGCATAGGAAGCACTCAATTACACACCAAATATGGAAGAAGGTTGGAAAAATTTAATTTTTGAATTTTTTTTGTACTTTTTCTTTCTTTGCCCTATGTCAGTAACAATTTTAATTTTGGTTATTTATTTACTTTCTCAGAATCAAGGCAGATTATACAATATAATCAATAGGATGAAACATCTGATAAGCAATATAATAGGACTAGATTTACAGAAATCTGAAAAAAGGACTAAGTATTAGACACAATATGTTAATGCAGAAAATGGTATCATGTACGTTTAAAACAAAGCAGTCAGAGCAAGGTAATACAAACAGCAAACAGATAATACATACTATATACAGTGGTATAGTTCACAGTCTCATTCCCCTTATAAAAGTGCCTTCCTGAACTCTTTCATTATAATAGAAGCCCTATTACCATTAAAAAAGTGCCCTCCTGAACAATTACTATATAGTATGCAGCATGACAGAAGCATGAGAGCCTTCCTGACTACATTACGCAGGCCATTCTACAAGGCAGGGGCCACAACAGAGAATGCAAGCATATGGGCAGTTATTTTACTCAAATTATAATGAAAAAACAGAATCCTAACAACTTACATCAGTTAAAACCCTCCTCACTCTTCCCTGGATTAATGGGTGGAAATTGTTATACCGTACTTCACTGCCATCAGCCCATGTGCTTTTCTGTGTCTTATCCAGAAAACGCAAACCAATCCAAATGTCTTCTGGCATACCAGGAAGCAAGGATGTTATAAAATCTGTTGAGTGGAACAGATCCGCACTTTAGTATTAGGCAGACAGAGGCTGCACTCAGTGTCTTGGATCCTTAGAATTTTCGCATGTACAAGGAGGCACAATGTTTGTAGAGAGAGGAATCAATTAAAATTGCCCCCTCTTGTACCCATGGAAATTCTAGCAGGATCCAAGCCAATTAATTTGTAATAGGAACAAGCCTCAAACCCATAGGTTCATGCAGTCTCCCCCCCCCCCACCACAGCCATAATTTAAAAATTCCTGGTTTAGAAAGTCATTAGTCTTGTCTCCAATTTCTTCTGATGCCCAATTTTGGCACTGTGACACATTCCTTTCCCAGTAACTTATTCTAAACCAGGATTCAACCTTTCAAGGCCATATTTAGCTAACTTGCAAGAACAGGTAGAGAGACTAAGCTGCTCCCTGTTTCTCTTATACCTGAAATTTTTGAAACTTTCTGGAAATTTGGAAGCCAGTGAGAGAAAACCAGTTCTGAGGGGAAATAATGAAACATCCTATTCTTCATACTGCACCATGTGGAGAACCTTCTTTAAAAGCATTTCACTTATTCCAAAAAGACAAAATAATCCAAAGGAATTTTCCCCCTTGATGCTCCTAAAAATTTTCAGCTTCTCTACTGGTAAAATTGAAAAACAAGTTCTTGGGGGGGGGGGAATGCCCATCTCCCTTTTCCAGTTTTTCCCCCTGGGCCTTCATGTCCTCATTCATCTGCCTTCCCCCTCAACTCCCACACTACCATGCCTCCATACCACATCACTATGTTCCCTAGATGTGTCCTTCCAAGAATGGTGGATATACTATTTCTTTGATTTAGAAATGGACAAAATACTCCATAACATTTCTCTCATTTGCCTCCGGAATGCTCCTCTGTGTTGGGTTCTCTCCTTTTGATGTTTTTATGGAAGATGAAGACCCACGACTTGTCCAAGACCACTAAGTCAGTACCCAGCTAAGTGGGGCATTTCAAACCAACTTCTCCAGAATTAAGTCCAGTTCAGACAGACACAAAAGTAAAATACATATTGTGTGGGGATTGGGCCAAATGCCAACCGAAGCAAGGACTCACGGGGCAAGTAACTTTCTGTTAGCCTTGGTTCCTTAAAATGGGAATTACAAATCACCAATGTCATCAAATGTTGTGGAGGTTGTAATGATCATAAAACTGGAATGTGTGCCAAAAATGAAGAACAGTAGATCATCTTCTACTTGACCGCATGAAGTGGTAACATTTATCTTCAGATTATCATGATTAAAAGATTAAATGTGCATATGTGATTAAGTGATTAAAGGTGCATATGTGAACCAGCTCTTAGATGAACATATACGTCATTTCAAGAGTCATCATTAAGTTACTGGGTTCATAAGGATGTGTTCAATTCCACTTTCATGGCAGCATTCCCTATGCTTCAGGGTACGCGGTAGTTCTAAGGAAGCCTTAAGAATGATGCTGGTGTCTGCATCTCTCTGATAATATTTAAAATGCCCAATACATACCAAGGTTTTTAGGATGGAACATGAGACTTTTCATCTTACCTTGTTCAGCTTGGTTTTTAATTGAAGGAAGAAAGCCTCCAAGCGTTTCACATATTTCGTTTGCTTCTTTAAATGTGACATACTGAGGGGCTATTGTTCGAAAGCACTGAAAGAGGCATATTTTTTTTAAGGACACTGTATGCATGGTATTTTTTGTTATTTACTATTAACGTAGATGCTTAATTTGATGTGGTTAACATAGCACAAAATTAAGAAAAAACTTCTGTACCAAAATCTAACTTCTGACAACACTCATGAAACTGATCTGATGACTGTGGCATGGTGGTCTTACACCACCCTGTAAATGCAGGCGTGCTTTCTCCCTAGACCTTTCCCCTGCCACCTTGCAGCCCAGTCAGGAAGCTGGGGCAGAAAGTTGCTAATTGCAACTTCCTGGTATCATGCCACAAACCCCTGGGTAAAATCTGCCCCCCCCAATGTCACCCGAGGTCAGCACTAAAGGGGTTTTGTTCATGTAGCTGAATGCAAGGCTGTGAGTAAGGACGTGTGTGGCTCTTAAGTTAAACAACTGTATTACTTCAATGTAGAAACTCCAAGTAGTGTAAAGACAGGTTCTAGGTACAACTCAGCAAAATGAAGTGAAAAGTTACTGGTTTACAGTCCTTGGATATTAGGTCATAAGGACATAAGGCCCGGGGGCCAGATACGGCCCGTCCGGGGCTCTTATATGCAGCCCATGAGCAACTGATGCAAGGGAGGGACTGGAGTGCTGGGGGGGGGGGCAGAGCCACTCCATTATGGCTTTACTACAGCAGAACAACCTTGCCTGCAGCAGTCTAGCATCATGGGAGCATTTGCCCAGCATTGCGCTGCTGCCTTTCTGGTCCGCCTCTATGGGTTTTCCTCTGCACCCACCCCAGGGGGCCTTGCAGTGAGGACACACCAACTTGGAGCTTACGAAGTGCTGTCTTTTATACAGTTTCTATCTCTGGTACCTGGCATTACATTTTATAGCACACATGGCCCGGCCCGACAAAGACACATCTATGTCAGATCCGGCTCTCGTAACAAATGAGCTTGACACCTCTGCATTAGGTGTTTGCTGGAATGCAGATTTTTTGAGATCATGATTGATTACTATATTAAGTTTAGTCAACCAATTGTCCCCCTATATTCCGGAAACCCTGGCTCTTTTGCTCAGCCATAAGGATCCTAAGATCACTCTAGCAATTGCAAAATTTGTCTCCGTCCTTTTAGCCATTGCATCTAAAAATACGAAATAAGTGACTTCTGCTGCTCAAGATTCATGAATCGATGCATTTCTAAGGGTACAAAAGGAAAGGTTTCATTGACGCCCCCACTTCAGGACACACCTGTAAGGATCCTCCAGTGTCATTCCCCTCTATCATCCCTCATCGCAACACGTGCATGAGAGAGTGTGCTTCTTTCAACAACAACAAATCCAAAAGTTCCCAAACAAAGGAACAGTCCCCTTTTTGAGACCCCTCCCCACGTGGACTTGCAGGGACAATCTGCATGCCAGTTGCTGAGGTTGCATGCCAGTTGCTGAGGTTCAAGCCTGCTAGAACATAAACAGTTGCATGCCAGTTGCTGAGTGTCAAGCCTGCTAGAACATAAACTCTCCAACTGAGAGGTGTTAAGGAGCCAGCGCATTTTCCTTATAAGTTGTAAATGACCTCCTCTATCCAGAAAATTGCATCTTTCCCATCTTCTGTCCATCACAAGGACCGCAATGCCCCCTTCCACTTCCGTAACTGTCACAACATATTTTGCCTATCTGCTTCTCATTCGCAACGATGACTTCACAAACAAAGCTTCTAATATGGTCTTGAAACACAAAAAGGTAATTGTCTCAATGGTTTGTGTTTTTTTACCTTATTCTGAAAAACTTGCCAGTCACCAGGACACTTTTTATTAGGTGGTTTATAATCTGGATCATGTCTTTCCAATAGCGATGTGTTGTATTTCTCACAGATGAAAGGCAGTTTCGAATTACAGTTTATTCTGGAGTCTGTGGGAGTCATAAATAAATGAATTCACCCACACTGATAGTATTTATATTAACATTCATTCTATTTCCCACGTTTTAAAAAAAAACCCTTTAATTCAGCTGTAAGAACACAAGTTTTGCATGTAGAAGGTCCCATTGCAGGTACTGGGAAACACCTTTCTCTGCCCAAGACCCTTGAGATTTATTGCTCCCTACAGTAGAAACATGAAAAGGCAGCATGATATCGCCTGATATCAGATCTTGGAAGCTAAACAAGGTCAGTACTTGGATGGGAGACCACGAAGGAAGACTCTGCAAAGAAAGGCAATGGCAAACTACCTCTGCTTTTCACTTGCCGAGAAATCCTCTTGTAAGTATGTACAGCAGACATTCAACTTCACAGAGAGCAGGAGGACTGGGGATACAAGTTCCCCAGGTCCAGGTTGCTGGGGGAGGAATAAGGTGAGTTTGAAGCCCACTTGCCTTATTTTACTCCAAACACAGTGCCATGTAGGCTGCCCTGAGCTCCATGGAAGAAAGGGCAGTACAAAAATTCACTAAGTAAATAAAACCATGCAGGATGCCTAGAACGTTTGGGCTTCCACAGCTGGAAGTCTACCTAGGAATCTAAAATTGGTCATTTTAACCCTTTGTTTCATTTTAAATCAGAGCAAGTGTTCTATTGCTGCAGTTTTCCAGTTAAACAGAGGGTCAATTCAAAATGAGTGACCCCAGATTCCTAGAAAAGCTAATTCCTCACTACTTATTAGTAAGTTCCTTCTCTCTCTGTTTCTCTATCCATTTAGGGGGGTGAAGATGAAGAAATTTCTTCTCCATGGCCCATGGTGCTTCCCAGTAGCCCTGTGACATTATTGGGAAAGGTAGATCAATGGTATTAAGATAGTATCGTAATGTCAAATATGCTCACTAGGAAGGCACATTTGGTTATAGACTTGTAAAAATGGTAATTTAGAACATTTGGTTATAGACTTGTAAAAATGGTAATGTACATGAAAGTAATTTAGAACAAAATAACATAATTCAAATCTTCATCAATATTTAGCATCTAACGTAGTGCCAGCCATCCTATCATGAAGGTTTAGTTGTGTTACACAGCATAGTCATGAATACTACTTTTTTATACTAGACTTGGGCCCCGTTCACACGGAGCATTTGCCGTGCTGAAGATACGGATGATAGGCAGAGTTTCTGGGCGCGATCACACCACAACATCTGGGAAGCGTAGTGCTCCTGTGGCTATCCCGTGGCTTCCCACCGAAGATGCGGATTAAAAAACTAGTACTTACAATGTACTAGTTTCCGGAAAACGCGGGACAAGGGTGGGCGTCTGATCGCGTCCCGTCCTAGTCCTGTCACAAACCGGCTAGGTTTTTTTTTTTGTCACGGGATGTGCACAATCATGCGCATGCACAAACTTCGGTTTAAAAAAAACCATCCCGTTTGCCACGGAAGCGGCGCCTAGTGATTGCTGGTGTGATCGCGCCACGCCACTTCTTTGCCACGCTGCAGGATAGTTGTGTGATCAGCACCCCCCCCCCCAACCACGGGACCTCGACGGGATGTGTGACCGGGGCCTTGATTCTACTACTTTTACATGCAGTAGTGTCTTAAGAACAGCTCCATTGGCTACACAGGCCTGAAACAGAATTGTAGACAGCTTCTTTTTTTAAAAAAATAGGAATGATAAATGCACTGAAGTGCTTTTAGTATTGAATCTGGATGTTACAGGATGCTACAACATAAAGAGAGCAGTTTATTCTCTCACTTTCTTGATACTTGTTATGTTATACCACACTATACTATACTATTATATCTTATCAAATCACAACCCACCCAGCTACCCTGGTATTATATATTTGTGAAAAAACCAGAAGGGAAGGAAGGTGCAGGTGTTAGTACCAACGATATAATGAGCATCTTTCATGGAATAGAGAGCCAGCAACAACTACTAGCCATAGGAATTAAAGGGAACCTGCACAGTCAAAGACAGCAAACCTCTGAATTCCGGTACTAGGAGGCAGTGTCAAGGGAAGACCTGGGCCTTTATGTTCTCTGTGTTAGCTGAACGGGGCAACTGGTTGGCCACCGTGTGAAACAGGATGCTGGACTAATGTGCCACTGGTCTGATCCAGCAGAGCTCTTCTTATGTTTTTATTTATCGTTAGGAATTGCTGGAAAATTATGGACTGTCTGGGTCTCAGGTGTGGGACTTGCTGTATAGACATTGGGAAATTATATACACACATATTATACCCACATACAGGCTTGGGTCCATAATAGCTTTTCTGTGGAGTACAGCTTGCCCGCACTTCCCTTCCAACAGCAGCAGCACACCCCCCCCAGTCCTGTTCTTGGGGTCCCCTGTCCCTTCAGAACAGGATTTGGGGGGGGGGCATTCCAGGATGCTGCAGATAGACATCCTTATGCTTGTGGGAATACTGCTCTGTATCGAAGCCATTATTTTCTGAAGCAGGACAAAGAATTCAGCATCCACATAACCTCAAAGTTCTTCTTTAAATAAAAGCACACCTCTAGTGTTCATAGTTGCAGGTATTATGTTTGGAAATATTTGGGAAATGTGTCATTTGAAAGTGTGGGGTCACATCTGGTAAAACCTTTGAAGAGAAAAAGGCACTCACAGTAGGACAGTCAGTAATGAGGGGACAGTCTTCAGATTCATTACATACTTCTTTGCTTTACCCCATGACTTGCAGAGTTATGCAAAAGTAAGCACTGTATGCATGTTTATCTTTAATTTGCATACTTTGTGCAGGTCGTAATTAAGTTTTTCTTGGCATATGAATTGGGTTACGGCAGTAGAAAACGTAAGTTGCTTTTAGCACAGGATGTACACAGCCCATGCAGTCAGACAAAAGTAGTTAACGCACATTTATTTCCAAATGAAAATGCACAGCACTGTGGACCTGTTTTCCTACTATGCCCTGCAAAGGCTGCGTTTATATCTACAGGTTGCACATCCCTGCTGATGCACTATCATTCCCAGACACTAAAGTCCACCATTTCCACCACAATTGTTGTTGTCTGACATCTGAAGCAGTGCTCCACTTCCATAAAATTAAAAAATAAAATGTGAGTGTATTTGCCTATTCCTTAGAAAAAGAAGAAGAGCTCTCCTCAGATTAAAAAAAAATATCAAGGATTGTAAAATAAAAATCTCAGGATTGTCAGAAATTTTGTTTAGCCTTTTTAAATAAAGCAGAACTATCTTACCTTTGTACCAGCTGTGATACGAAATATGCCAGCAATCCCTGAAATGTCGGGCATGATATTCTGAATATACCGGAAACCTAGGCATAATGAAGAAACCGAACATTTAACACACTTTGTCTCATAAAATGCAGTATAAATAAAATCATAAAAATATAATTTAAAAAATAATAATAAAAAAAGAAATATAAAAAAAATAAAAAAAATAAAATGCAGTATATAACACAAAAATCCAAATAGCAGTCAGTCAGGATACAAAAACAGAAAAACGCAGAAAATGTATTTTTATTTCCATTTTGTTCCGGACCCTCACACTGAACTACTGATGTAAGAAAATAAACTATATACCCACAGTCTGCTATAGCTTTTATCTATTGTACAGGCGGTTTGTTGACAAGTGCAAAGAGAACACATAATGGCATCTCTACCTCTGCAGCCGCCAGACATAGCAGCCCAGTCATTCCCGTTATTTCTCAGCATACTGACAAACACAAACCAAAAACCGACCAACATTAAGCTTATGTTAAGTCTACAATCCTGAACTCCATTCATTTTCAAATTTATATTCTGTTTTCCCACCCTCAAGCATCCTTCAAAGCCACATGCATAACGCAGTAAGACAAGTTATACTATGCTAAAAACTCTCAGAGGAGCAAAGACTAGTCATTTTTTTTTTGCTTACATTTATGCATTTGTTTTTTATTGGCATTTCATTTTTGTTGTTGTAGGCTGGTGGTATGCTTTGGATAAGTGTTGCTGTGAATTCTAATTGTGTGCCTTCTCGTTAGTTTTCTGTGGCATATGCTTTCAAAATGAGAGACCACTTCCTCGGATGATTAAATCAGCTCCGTTCCATGAAAGATTACTCCACCATAAATGTTTGTAGCATAAAAGTCATATAATTTTTACTACAACAGCAAACCTCTTTGGAATTAGTACTCAGTTGGCTTTGTATTGGGTTGGATCCAGAAGAAAATTTCCACTGGAGAAAGGGGACAGTGATTTTCACCAGTTTCCCCTTCCTGCACTAGACCTCTGTTTGAGGGTTCTCTGTACCACAGTAACATCACTGAGATAACTGTTTTGGGCTGCAGCAGGAAATCCCACTTTGGTAACAGAAACTGCTACTGTCAGCAGAGATTGTGCATGGAATCTAATCCATTATCTATACATTTAACACAGAAGTGCATATCCATTATTTCACCCTCATCTATATATCTTTCATTTCTGTATCTAGCATACTTTTCAGGCTTGCCACCAGCTGTGCTGACATGAGCTAGCCATTTATGTACTACCCATTCTTTACCCAACAAGAATCCTTCTGTACCAGTGGTGGAATGATGCCTGAGATCTAGCTTTTTGGCAGACTATTTTCAGGCTAACATTTTTGCTTCCATCTTTTGTTTGCATCCAGCCCTTCATCTGAGGAGTTCAAGAGTGGTACTGTAGTCCAACAAAAAATCGGCAGAGTAGTTTATTCTGAGATGCAGGGCCTAACTAGTCAATATGCAGGGAGTTTCATGTCAGATGCGCCCGTATTTTTAGAATGTTATGAGGCACACGAGGCCCAATTCAGGTTGGGACCATGGTGCTGGGGGAGGGGGTTAAGTCTTCTCCTTGCAACATTTTCTGGATCTCAATAGTGCCTGTTTGTCCCATTATGACATTATCAGTACATATGCAAGTTATCATAACTGGGCAAAGAGCGCCAACACCCTTCCCGTCATTTTTAGATCCTTGCCTTGTGCGGGATTCTGATCCAAAGAAGGTCCCTGTAAACCTGATAAGCAACACTGGAGTCTCCTCCCATGTTACTTTCAGCATATCATCTAATTAAGGCTACCCAACAAGTTGTTAATGTATCTGAATGTATATTTCCCACATGCAAGCCCAATTCCTTGGTCACTTCTTTGCCTCCTTAGGCAGTTGCAATAATAATATGAAACAACTCTATGTATGTTGCCCTGAACTCCCTGGAGGAAATATAAAATGTAATAGTTCTCCCCATGCTATCAACAAACATACATGAGAGTGTGCGCGCAATGGCACATTGACCATCGGAGGTCCCACGACGTAAGCTGTTTTGAATATATGGAACTGCTTCTATGAGGCTGTGTTAAAAGCAGCCACTTCTTAGCTGTGGAATAAATTGATCCTGATAAACGGCATTTGACCTAACACACTTTTTGTTAAGTGTTAAAAAAACCCAGCTTTTTAGCATCACATTGATGGTTCTACATACCATACATGGAAGTGACTTGCAGGAACCACAGATTTCAGCCACCACTTCTGCCCCATAGATGATAACTGCAAAAGCAAATGGATAAGTTATTAAGCATCAGTGCAACAGCCACCATCATAGACCAAGTGTTGGGAAAAGGTTCTTAATTATAAAAGAAAGTGTTTCAAAAGGTGTGCCATCTCTTTTGCATTATTTTTCTGATAGAGCTTGGATCTAATTAAATTACAGAGTGGAACATTTATATCCATTCATAGGATATGAAAAGGGATGCTAATTTTTTCCAGCTCTGATGTACAAGAGATTTTGGCCCTAAAACCCAATCCTGACATAATTCTGGCTGTTTTATTCAATAAAAACCTGTAGCAGCATAATATACAGAAATCAATAATACAGAAACAACTTACAAACTTAAAAGAAAAATTAATTGAAATGTACAACTTTCAGAGAAACTTTGACCTGGACCATATTCATTGGGAAATGCAAAAAACTTGCCATCTTTTCTCTCTCTTTTTTGTATTTTTCATATGTGCGTGCATGTGCACCTGGAAGTCATGGCGACCTCTGGTGACTGACTGTGTGTGCACCTGGAAGTCATGGCGACCTCTGGTGACTGTGTGTTACCTAAAACTCATGGTGACCTCTAGTGACTGACTGTGTGTGCACCTGGAAGTCATGGCAACCTCTGGTGACTGACCCCTACTGAGAGCCTGGAGGATATTCAGAGAGGTGGCTGAATAAAGCCTGCCCCCGCCTCCGGTATTTCAAGGAGGTCTCCCATCCAAGTACTTGCCAGAGTTGACCCTGCTTAGCTTCCGAGATCTGACGAGACTGGGCTTGCCTGGGCTATCCAGGTTAGGGCAACAACTTGCATTCTTTGATACAAAAAAATCAATGAGATGTGGCCTCTTTTGGTCACATGGACAGAGCAATCCTGTGCTGTCCCATACTCCTGTGGCTGGCTGCGGCACAACTGTGGCACCACTAGTCTTCTCCCTAAGGGGAAAATTATGCAGTGGCTGGCCAGGGGAATAAAAGGTGTGTTTACCGCCGTGGTAGTGTGCATGGCATTTGTGCTGTGGTGTTCTGTGCAGTGTTGTGGATAGGCATGGGCAGTGTGATTGACAGGCAAGGAAGGACCAATCATGGGTTATGTGTTGAAGGGGCCAAGCCAAGCATCTGTCACTGGCAGGGGGTGGAGAAGAGCCAGCCAGAGGAGCCATGCTCCTGTCAGCAGCCCTGGGCTTCTGTCAGTGGGGAGTGGGGTGCCACCTGTTCACCCAACAAGCACCCTAAGCTGTCATACCACTATTACAAAAGTAATAACTTTCACCATTTGGTCCTTATGTTAGCTCAAGTGTTCTTTGCATGTGCATCACCATATTTGCGGAAACTTTTAAGTGGTCTTTCTTTTTCAAGTGACAAACATTTTGTAAAACGTTTGGAAAAGATTGCTATGTTAGCCTCAGTATAGTAGTAACCTATTTACTAAATTAATTGGATCACCATGACCACTGAGATGGTAATTAAGCTAAATGCCTGCAGCAATTTTATTGAGCACTGCCCTGTTTTCTTTAAGTGAACTGTCTCTTGATCCACAGGTTTACAAGTTTCTTTCTAAAATTCTTTCTAAAGTCTGGGGCTTCCAATACTGTTCCCTTGCATTCAGGACAAGGTAGCATTTATTAATGGACTTCAAGCAAACATAGTTCTTGGCTTTGTTCAGATGTGATTAACACATTATGGCTAGTCATCATGAGAACAAGTCTCTAGGTTCATGTTTTCTTCCTCCCCACACATGTATACAATACTGAAGGTTCCCAAGACTGAAAAGCCAGTTGGTTGGAATATCTGAAACAAGTAAAATGCCAAACTGTGGTTTCTCTTGACCATGAAGGATCAACTTAAGGTACAATTTGGACCCAGTTTGTGGGAAAGAAAACAAACCATAGTTTGCTATTTCTTTCATTTTGGATTTCACAGCAAGCTGTGATTAGTTCTTAACCAGGAAGTCTGCAACAGCCCATTGCTATAGAGGGATAGGGGAGGAAAGGCAGCATGGTTAAGCCCGATATCATCAGATCTCGGAAGCTAAGCAAGGTCAGTACTTGGAAGGGAGACCTACAAGGAAGACTACAGAAGAAGGCAATGACAAACCACCTCTGCGTCTCACTTGCCTTGAAAACCCCTTGCTGGGATCACCATAAATTAGCTGCACTTTGATGGCACTTTACACACACATATAGAGGGATGACAGCACACAGACTCAAGGACCTGCTGTCGCAATGAACAAATTCATGATTTAAACTGAACACTAATCAATGATGCTAGTTTACCCTCTGTTCTTACTCTGTCCCTCTCCTCATACTAAAAAAACCTGAGAAGGCAAATAAAGGGAATACTTTCTTCCATTCTCTCTGACTGCGCTCAGATATCAGCACTACACTTCCCATATGCTTTAGTAAGGAACTTGTAATAATAAGGGAGGAGGCATTAATGTTTTCTGCACAGGTGTCTCTCACAGTAAAAAGATACAAGATCATAAATTACATTTCCCAGTCTGCTTAGGACTCCAGTTAGTTCTGCGAATGAGGTCAGAGAAGCCAAATCACTTCCATTATTAGAACAGTAGAGAGCAGCTTCTTGATAGCTCAGGTTCTTATCTGACACAAACCAGAATTCAGACCCATCAACAACCAGTGGAAGTCCATGAATTCCATCTTCCTCTACAAGGAAACAGAACCATATACAGGATTTTTGTCTTTTAACAAATACAGAGACAAACCATTTAAGCAAAAGAACATTTAATTAGTAGTACCTGATCACCTCTAACACTGAGGCAGAATTTATGCCATTGTCTTACAGTCATCTTAGTTTGTAAGCAAGAGAACGAACCAGAGTTTCATTTCACCTAATTTTGACTTCATAACCAACTGTGGGGATTGGGAACACACAGACTCAAATACTTTAGAGACTTGTTCTTGGAATTGCACAAATTAGGTTCCTTTTATGGGAGAACATAGATTTATATTGAAATAAATAAAATAAATACATTTTGGAAAAAAGACAATGGTAAAGCAGTATGTCAGATTTTCATATATGCTTCCCCAAGGACAGAACCGAAGGCATTCTTTGAAGCAGCGCTATATCCATTGGCAGGAAATTTCACAAATTACATGTTGAGTAAAGAAGTCTGAATCTAATGCCCATTAGCTTTTTTTTTTTACACGTTTTTTTACACGTTACATTAGTTTAACTGGGTTCTCCTCTATCCACTTTCTCTACTCATGAATACTTATATAAACCTTGGTTATGACTCCTCTCGGGCAGGCGGGATACAAGTCTAATAAAATAACTAAATAAATAAACTCACCCTCCCCTCCTGTCTTCCTAATGGCTATTTAATTAAAGTCTTCACACTAAACCATATTTGGTCTATCTGAACCACCAATTATGGTCTGAGTGCATCTCTTGAACCCAGGATTTCAAAACAGGAAATCTAAGTATCACTCCAAATTTCTGTAAGATTATTTAGCCGGCTTTGGTGACCAGTGATACGATCTTATGAGCCCTGTATTAACAGTTGTAGTGTATCTATGACAATTGTTTTTCTAGTATTATGTTTTTGCTCTTCCAAACTATCTGTTCCTCAAACTTTTTTGGTTTACTATTTGGCATGTCGTGGTTGCAGATTCATTCCCTTCCTTCTGGTTATATTTTCATGATTAATAAAGCAAAGAGCATGAGCAAATTGGCTTGCATCTTGCTAAGTTGACCAGAATCAGCAGTGCTGAAAGGTCAGATGGGACCTTCCTGGCCCACCACATAACCTGATCAACACTGGGCTGAAAGCTGCAGTACCTTCTCTTCCCATCACAAAGGCCGATGCTAAAGTGCAGCAAAGACAAGGCCAACAATTCTCTACACTTGCAAATGATCACAATGGTTTGTGGTCCCAATTCTGATCTAAGGCTACAGTTGGTAGATCATTATTAGATGCCTTATGCTTTTGGGCTGCATTTTACACCATGTAATTCACCTTAAGTCTCAGTGAGAAAGGCAGGCTATTAATAGAAGTAAATAAATACAACCCAATGTATGACTACCATCTAAGTCAATGTTATGTAGCAAAAACATATTAAGTTACCTGGTTTGTACCACTCTGGAGACTTTATCTTAGTACCTGTTTATAACAGAGGGAAGGATAAACATATTAGATAAGCTGCTGTTCTGACCATATCAAACCAAGTTCTCTTTCAAATGACAGAGAGAATTCGGGGGGTAGGGGAAGAGGAGCTTTCAAAAGAATAATTAAACACAGGGTTTGGATTGTTTCGTTCTTGTAACTAAAACCATCCAAGCAATATAATCGTATCACAGACAGCTTATAAATGTAATTACAACTACAACTTAAATAAGAACGTAATGGAAAAAGATATATTGGATGTCTGACAAACAATGTAAGCAAGATTAAAGAGGCAGTCTAATGATCTTACAAACATTTTCCTTTTCTTTTCTTGTTTCCTCTGCAACTTTATTTTAAAGGGAAGTAATATATATTTTTATATCCTTAGCCCCTGTTTCACAGAGTAGCAAGAAGTTCCAAGGGCAGCACTTACATGAGCTGGTTCCCTCTTTAGGAAAACACACTGGAGTCTTGTGACATTTTTGTATTTTTTTTAGATCTACAATGTGAGCAACTAACTACATGTTATGTTTTCCTCATATTCTCTCCAGGTCTGCCCTGGGTCCCTCTGCTCACATGTTCATGGCAAGCACCACACTTGGAATTCCATTTTCAGGCATGTAGGGGCCCCATTTAGATAAAGAATGTGGGGAGGAGGGATTAAGCCTCTACTCCCACTCTTTTCCCCATTTAGATAAAGAATGTGGGGAGGAGGGATTAAGCCTCTACTCCCACTGTTTTCCCAACCTGGGGGATACTATCTGCCATGCTTGGCCAAACGTAAATATTCTCAACAGAGCAAATATCTATTTCAGGTCAGGAAAATGGCATATGGAAAGGCATAAGCTCCTTTTTCCCTGCAGTCCCATGCTGAATCAGGTATACACAACTGGGAATGTTCTAGCATGGAATTCACACCACATATGTGATACTAAATGCACATAAAGCAATGTACATAAGATGTGTAAAATTCAAAGGCTGATTTAATCAGCAGTTGAAGCTGGCATAGTAAATGAGAAACAAAACATCACATAAGTAAGCACTAGTGGCCAATTTTACCTTTAGTAATCTGGCAGACCCATTCCAGTTTAGCATCACAATGGAAAGGCTTTAAATAGAAATGTTCTCTGTCCTCAAGAAGATAAGGAGGCCAGTATGGTCTCCGTCTTGCTCTAAGAGACTGCACAGATAAAAAAAAAATACAAAAATACGTAATTGTGCTCAACATCAGTTCCTGCATTCAGTCAAGAGTTAGTAAAAGTTATTTTCTTACTCCTTTTTCATTAAGGCAAACTTTTAATAGGTACGAAGTGCAGCTGCTTGCTGGGTTATATATTAGAGAAACAGAATGCACAGCTGGATCCAATGCATGTTTACTCAGAAGCAATCCCACTGAGTCCAAACAGTATGGAATTACCAACTAAAGAGCCAAATGATACTTTAATGGGTATCCCTACTGACCTGGATGGTCCAGGCGAGCCCAGTCTCATCAGATCCTGGATCCTAAGCAGGATGTGACTTGACAGGGGGGAAAAAATACAAAAAACAAACCCCTGAACTACTGCCAGCTACAATTAAGTTTTGGCATGTGACTGCTTTTGGAGTGGCCATCAAATGCAATTTATCATATGGAATATATTCATGAAATGCTATATTCATGAAATGCTTAAAAGTGCCACTGGACTCAAACTTTGTTATGTGATTCTATAGTCACTACTGCCAGCTAGGTGGCTTGTAGTGTTTCTACAAAGATCTCAGGAAGAATTCACTGGTAAATTTTTAATAAGCTAGCAATTTCTTATGTGACTGTCATATCATGTTGACACTGTTGATTGATTCACTTATTTTAAATTTAAACATAATCTCTTGAATTGTTTTTTTTAAACACAGCACAAAGTATTTCCATATATTGCAAATCTACTTCAGAGGCAGTTAGTAAAATTTTTTTTACTATGCACCTTGAAGGCAGCACAGTCTCTAACATCATAGTCATCTTCTTGAAACTCACGGGGCATAACGACAGTAGATACCTAATGAAGGAAACAGAGAGGCAGAAATCATTACTGAGTTGCAATTTATTCATATTAAGTGGCAGTTGTAACAGTAGTTGATGCAGTAGATAGCAGCCTCATGATGTAAGGTAAAGATCCGAAAAAAACACTGGATTCCATAATCCAGTATGTTGCATCTTTTGAAATTTTGCATTGATATATTCACAGAAGAAAATGTGATTGCAAGTGCAATAGTAATTAAGTATAGATTAATTTCTCTACCGAAATTATTAGGGCAGTACTAATAAATGGCAAAGTAGCCCTGACCTGTATGGCCCAGGCTATCCTGATCTTGCCAGATCTTGGAAGCTAAGCAGGGTTGGCCCTGGTTAATAGTTGGATGGGAGACCACCAAGGAAGTCCAGGGTTGCTACGCAGAGGCTGGCAATGGCAAACCACCTCTGTTCAGCTCTAGCCTTGATGAACAGAGAGGTTGCTATAAATCAACTATGACTTGACAGCACGTTCCACCACCACTAACAGATGGGGAAGTGCCACATTTGCTAGTTGCAGCCCTTGCTCATGTAAGAAATTGCTGGTCTGTGGAGATTAATTCTTTTTGTTGTTCAGTCGCACAGTCGAGTCTGGTTGATTTCTTTGAGGATTGACTGATTTGTTCTTCTTGCAGTCCAAGGGACTCTCAAGAGTCTTCTCCAGCACCATAGTTCAAAAGAATCTATTCTTCGGCGCTCGGCCTTCCTTATAGTCCAGCTCTCGCAGCCATACATGACTACTGGGAATACCATTGCTTTGACCATGCGGACTTTTGTTGGCAGGGTGATGTCTCTACTTTTTATCATGCTGTTTAGGTTCGCCATCGCTTTCCTCCCAAGGAGCAGGCGTCTTTTAATTTCATGGCTGCAGTCACAGTCTGCGGTGATCTGGGATCCCAGGAACGTGAAGTCTGTCACTACTTCCACGACTTCCCCTTCTATTTGCCAAGGAGTGATGGGGCCGGATGCCATGATCTTAGTTTTTTTGATGTTGAGCTTCAAGCCCACTTTTGCGCTCTCCTCTTTTACTCTGAGCAAGAGGCTCTTTAGATCCTCTTCACTTTCAGCCATTAGAGTGGTATCATCTGCATATCTGAGGTTGTTGATCTTTTCCCCAGCAATCTTAATTCCCGCTTGTGATTCATCCAGGCCAGCATTTCGCATGATGTACTCTGCATATATATTAAATAAGCAAGGTGACAGTATACATCCTTGTCGTACTCCTTTTCCTATGCTGAACCAATCAGTTGTTCCGTATCCGGTTCTAACTGTCGCTTCTTGGCCCTTATACAGGTTTCTCAAGAGACATGTGAGGTGGTCTGGTACTCCCATCTCTTTAAGGACCTGCCATAGTTTGTTGTGATCCACACAGTCAAAGGCTTTAGCATAGTCAATGAAGCAGAAGTAGATATTTTTCTGGTACTCTCTTGCTTTCTCCATAATCCAGCGAATGTTGGCAATATGATCTCTCGTTCCTCTACCTCTTCGAAACCCAGCTTGTACTTCTGGTAGTTCTCTATCCACGTACTGTTGAAGCCTAGCTTGTAGGATCTTGAGCATGACCTTGCTAGCGTGTGATATGAGTGCAATTGTGCGATAGTTTGAACATTCCTTGGCATTGCCCTTCTTTGGGATTGGAATGTATACTGATCTTTTCCAATCCTGTGGCCACTGTTGCGTTTTCCAAATTTGCTGGCAAATGGAGTGCAGAACTTTAACAGCATCCTCTTCTAAGACTTTGAATAGCTCAGCTGGGATACCATCACCTCCACTAGCTTTGTTGTTAGTAATGCTTTCTAAGGCCCATTTAACTTCACATTCCAGGATGTCTGGCTCGAGGTCAGTGATTATACCGTCGTGGTTGTCAAGGACATCGAGGTCTTTCTTGTATAGTTCTTCTGTGTATTCTTGCCATCTTTTCCTAATCTCTTCTGCTTCTGTTAGGTCCCTACCGTTTTTGTCCTTTATCATGGCCAGCTTTGCATGGAACGCTCCCTTGATTTCTCCAATTTTCTTGAAGAGATCTCTAGTCCTTCCCATTCTATTGTTTTCTTCTATTACTTTGCACTGTTCATTCAGGAAGGCCTCCTTATCTCTCCTTGCTGTTCTCTGGAAATCTGCGTTCAGTTGGGTAAATCTTTCCTTTTCGCCTTTGCCTTTCGCTTTCCTTCTTTCCTCTGCTATTTGTAAAGCCTCATCAGAAAGCCATTTTGCTTTCTTGCATTTCTTTTTCTTTGGTATGGTGGTGATTGCTGCCTCCTGTACGATGTCACGAACCTCTGTCCATAGTTCTTCAGGCACTCTATCTATCAAATCCAGACCCTTGAATCTATTCTTCACCTCTACTGTATATTCATCAGGGATGCGATCTAGGTCAAACCTGAATGGCCTCGTGGTTTTCCCGATTTTCTTCAGTTTAAGTCTGAATTTTGCAATGAGTAGCTCATGATCTGAGCCACAGTCAGCTCCAGGTCTTGTTTTTACTGACTGGATAGAGCTTCTCCATCTTTGACTGCAAATTATATAGTCAATCTGATTTCGGTGTTGCCCATCTGGTGATGTCCATGTGTAGAGTCGTCTCTTAGGTTGTTGGAAAAGGGTGTTCGCTATGACCAGTGTGTTCTCTTGACAAAACTCTGTTAACCTTTGCCCTGCTTCATTTTGCTTTCCAAGGCCAAACTTGTCTGTTATTCCGGTTACCTTTTGACTTCCTACTTTAGCATTCCAGTCCCCTATGACGATGAGGACATCATTTTTTGGTGTTAGTTCTAGGAGGTGTTGTAGGTCTTCATAGAACCGGTGCCTCTTCTGCATCAGTGGTTGGGGCATAGACTTGGATTACTGTGATGTTGAATAGTTTGGCTTGGAATCGGACTGAAATCATTCTGTCATTTTTGAGATTGTATCCCAGTACTGACTTTTGCACTCTCTTGTTGACTATAAAGATTAATTCTAGATAGGTGAAAATAAATGTTTTATTGTCCACTAGTAACTGGATACCAGACAAATAAAATGGCAACCCTTTCAAAGATTTAAAAACTCAACTGACAAAATATGTTTAGATGTTCATTCTTTAAAATGATTACCTCCCTGTATTTTGCTTATGCTCTCTGTATGCAAAATACATTGTTAAGAAGTTGTCCAATTTTCCCAACAAGGATATGGTGTGGGTTTTTTTGGTTTATTCTGGTAATCAGTTTAACTTACAGGCTTATTGTCACTCCACTGCCATGCTCCCAGATAGTCTGGATTCCTCTTATTTAGCCCAACCCAGACCCATCGGTCATCACTGAAAAGAACACAACATTTCAGTTACATAAAAGTTTCATCCTTTTATCTGTATCATCATGTAAGTCTGGTACATATATTCAAGGTGTACACATGGTAAAGGAAGTGGGATTTCACTGGCCACAGAGATTGCATTATTATCATTTCAAAACATGGAAAGCTAATATAGGGCAAGATCCACAACATTACTTTTAGGCATGGACAAAGGCTTGGGCATACTAAGGGTTTTTTTCTTTGAATGCTATTGTGACTTATCTCAAACTGATTTTGAAAGTCCTCTCAGGTTCAAAAGTGGGTCAACCTGTAGCATTCAGCATCCAGACATCACAATAAACCCTTCTGTGTTTAAGCCCTGATTAGCCCATAAACCTCAGTTTGTCTGCTTCTGTCTCCTGCCCACCTCTCAGCATGGAGAAAATTTCCTGTATCCTATTGCCTCTCCCCGTACATTCCCCCAAGAGCACTGCGATCGGGGAATCTCCATCGCCTGGAGGTTCCAGGCCCCCGGGAAGTGAAGTTGACCCAAACCAGGGCTAGGGCGTTCTCGGTGGCAGCTCCCACCTGGTGGAATGAGCTCCCAGAGGAGATCTGGGCCCTGCGGGACCTAGTGCAGTTCCGCAGGGCCTGCAAGACGGAGCTCTTCCGCCAGGCCTTTGAGGGGGAGCCGCCGCCGCCACTATCCCACCAATGATAGATGTCGCCCAATAGAGCTGGGGAAACATTCTTCCTGCTGCTCCCGCTGTGAAGAACTTGGCCGCCAGTGTGGGACGTCGCCCATCTTGAATTTTATGTAAATTATCAAAGCACCAAATTTTATGTCAAGATATAGTGTTTTTATTATGCTGTTGTTTGTATGCATATTTTAACTTCGGCATGGCTGTTTGTTAGCCGCCCCAAGCTGTATATTGGATGGGGCGGGATATAAATCCCAAAAATAAACAAATAAAAAATAAATACAGTCAGGCAGCCACAAGGATTTGTTGTTGTTGTTGTTGTTATTTCCTGCCTGCCGTAAAAAGCACTAGGGGTGTACATTTGGATCTGCCTGAGCCAAAAAATATAACTGAAAAATACCAGGCGGGTATTTTTCAGGTGTACTTTGGCATCCCAAATGTATCCAAGTTTTCTCAGGAAAACCGGGGGGGGGGGATCCTGAATATATTCGGGAATTACTGGTAGATCCAAAAACAGCAAGAGGCAAGAGCAAATTGCTCCTGCCTCTCAGCTGTTTGTCAGTCTTCTGCAGTCCCTTTAAACTTTGAAGAGGCTGCAGAAGTCAGCCTCCGCTGGCACAGCTTGGGGCTGGCTGGCTTCTCCTGCAGCCCATTTAAACCGAGCTGCAAGTGAAGTCAGCCCAGGATCAGCCTCAGCTGGGGGGGTAGTAACAGGATTCTGAGTGGATCTGCTTAGGACTGCTCTCTCAGTGTTCTAAAACACTTTTTTTATCAGTCTTTCATCTACCCCAATAAAACTGTGATGTTTTTGTCAACAATGGAGGCAGATTTCAGACAGAATCAGGTTCAGAATTCTAGCAATTCAAAGCTATTACCTGATGACAGTTCTCAGGATATCATGGAACTCCCTTATTTCCTCCTTCTGGCTAAAACTAGGAAGGTGTCCGCCAAGAGCCTCGCAAAACCTTTCTGCTTCTTCCCAGGTTCTGGTTCTCAGCCCTCTTTCCTTATGGAA